ACGGGGCCGACGGGTGGGGTGCGACGACGGATCCCGGCTTGGCCGACCGAATTTGAGCCGGCGTCGTGGGTCGGGGAACAGGGGGCCTCGCGATCCGTGGCACCAATTGTTGGAGGATTGCGAAGAAACGAAACTGGTATAGTGCCGAAATCGGGCGGGGGTCCCGTTGGGATGGATGGATGGATGGATGGGAGAGCCAGGATTGCGTCAATATTTTCTGGAATGGAATGATCTGCCACCCAATGACGGTATATGTGCATACGGCGTTGTTTGGTAGGGGTTCCTCGATCCGGTGACACCCGATGATGTTACTCCGAGCCGACGAGGAATCCCACGAGGGCGGTATCCGTGAGAAAGCTCCGAACCGAAGTTGATGGCTTTTGTTACAGAACTCGCTGGCTGCCTGGCAAAACGGACAGGAAGAGAGGAAAGGAGGCGAGCTGGAAGTAAGACTCCCACATCGGGAATAGTGTGAAGTTGTTTGGTTTGGCCCCCGGCCATGGGGAGACCCTCAGATTCGTCGCGGTGGTGGTGACTCTGGTGGTGTAAGTCCCTGCATAAGCCAATCAGAGACCGATCGCAACAGACGCAGGTCGAGCCCACAGAAATGTCGGCGTAGAGTGGAAGCAGACGCGTTGAGAAGCTTTCATAATGCTGCATCATCGTCTTCTAATGCACTCCGGAACCTATTGGTGCTGCGTGTTGCCTCCATGACCGTGACTAGGACTCTGGGCTGTTGCTCTCTGCAGTTTCGGGGGTTTCCAGTGTCCCCTCGCGCAAGATGCTAGGAGCCGGGCCATGCCCGTCCAAACAGTTTCCCCTCAAGTCCGGTGCCCGAGCTTCAAGCAGCTTGCAAAGAACGGACGACCGATGCAGCTCCGAACTTCATTTAACTGATCTGCTTTCTTCCGTAAAACAAAGGGGGGACACTATTATTCAGCCCGGGCAAACAGCTGCAGAACTGCTTTTCTCCTTTCCTCCTTTACTCATCCCTGCCGCCGAAGTTAAGACCTCCCTGCGCGTCTCCTTATCCCTGGTATTCCCAAAAAGAAGACATCGCCCATCTTGTGTCCTTTTCTGGAAACGCCTTCGTCTCGTCTGGAGCTAATCCTTTCTGTTTGTTATTGTGTGTTGGATGCTCGTGGCACATGTCATTCGCCAGACCAGCCAGATTGCCAGGTGCCTGCCAGAGTAGAAAAGTCCTTACCCCAATTGCCCCCCAATCTTTGCTCAGCGGTGGCGACGCCACTGCGTAGGTAGTTAAGGCGAACGATACATGCGGGTACGTAGGCAGGAGAAAAGCAGAAAAAAAGAAACAGAAAAAAAGCGAAGAAAGTCTAATTCCGTCATCCTCTATGTCGGGTCCCTGTCCACCACCACCCATTACCTCCTCCACCTGCGCCTGCACCACCAGTATCCGTACGTACTGCGCTGCGTGCCTGCAACCCGCGCAGCGCACTGGGCGGTCATTGCGTCCGACCGCGTTCCGACTTTTCTCTCTCCGTCGGTCACCGTGTCACAAGGAGCAAAAATAACGGTGCGAGAGCAGTGACATTGGCCTTCAGATTGGTACCGGCACAACAACAACAACAGAGAGACACCCTTCGATGGCTGCGATTTCCGTCTATTTGGGATTTTCTGCATCTGTTCATACCGCCCACAGATCCAGCACACAGCATAGCTAGCGCCGAACTCAGCTCGCCGCCGCTGTCTCTGTTCCCGTTGTCTCTTTTTTCCCTGGGCACCGCTCTCCACCACCAACACCATCCCGTCCACCACCGAACCGAAAAGTCAATCTTGTTGCCAGCCGGTAGTGGGTAGGTGCCTGCACAAATATAACCTGCGAGCCGCCCCTCCCACCATACTTCCTTACCCCCTTGCACTCAGCCTTCCTGGTCTGCGCGCGCAATCTCCAACTTCAATTCATCATCCTTCAGGGCGACAGCGACTTCACCTCCCGTCCACGATTGGCCTTACTGGCTCAACCCAATAATTTACTGAGCTCCTGAAGCTCATTCACCCCTCCCATCGTCCGCGATCATTCCGACGCTTGCCCATCATGGCGTGGTCAAAGTCGACGCGGATCAGCATCATGCTGGCCATCGATGTCGTCTTCTTCCTGGTTGAGCTGATTGTTGGTTTGGTTGTCAAGTCGCTGGCCCTGACGGCGGATGCCTTCCACATGGTACGTTTCGCCAACTGCGCGGGACCACAATGTGCGACACATTGCTAATCGACGTAGCTCAACGACATCATTTCCCTTTGTGTCGGTCTTTGGGCTGTCGCTGTCGCGAGAAAAGCCACCACCGACAAGTACTCCTACGGCGTAAGCTACCTCTGTCTACAATATTGAAGCACTTCTCAGCTGACTTGGACTTTGCAGTGGCTGCGAGCAGAGATTCTCGGTGCCTTCTTCAATGCCGTCTTCTTGATTGCTCTCTGCGTCTCCATCATCCTCGAGGCCATCACCCGATTCTTCGACCCTCCCGAGATCGACAACCCCCAGCTTATCCTTATCGTCGGCGCCTTCGGCCTTGCCTCCAACCTTGTCGGATTTTTTGTCCTCGGCGGCCATGCCCACGGAGGTCACGACCATGACCACGACCACGAGGAGGGCGAACACGACCACGACCACGCCCACGCCCATTCCGACGAACACGCCGCCGAGGAGGGCCGTGCCACAAACGTAATTAGCGAGGACGGTACTGCCGGCGATGTTTTCCCCGAAGCCGTTGTTGCCAGAGTCGCTGCCTCGTCCGAGACTCGCCACATTAGATTCGAGGGAGATTCAGACCCGGCTGACCGTACTACGAGCCGTGCTTCCACTTCCAAGAGCCACGATCGCCGCAAGAGCAGCAACCGCCACCACTCCCGCCTCACTAGCATTGAGGACCTCAGCATTCATCCTTCCAGCTTCCGTCAGGAGATTATCGCTGCTACCCGCCCCCAACTTGATGGCCAGGAGTCGACGAGCGAGAGCGAGATTGATGAGACAGTTGTCGAGGACGGCGAGGCTGACGAAGAGTCTCCTCTCCTCGCGAACAATGGCAACAAATCCTACACCAATGACCATGGCCGTGGCCGCTCCGCCTCTAAGCGCCCCAGAAGAGAGTCCAGCCTGCACCATGACCACAACCACAACAAGGAGAGAAAGAAGGCATCAAGCAGCCACGGCCACGATCACGGCGACATGGGTATGAACGCCATGGTTTTGCACGTCATCGGTGACGCCCTGGGCAACGTTGGTGTCATCGTCACGGCTCTCATCATCTGGCTTACTGACTGGCCCGGCCGTTTCTACGCTGATCCCGCCGTATCTCTGTTCATTACCCTCATCATTCTCAAGTCTGCCATCCCCCTCACCAAGGCAACCTCCAAGATTCTCCTCCAGGCCACTCCCGACCACATCGACCTGAATGATATTCGCGAGGACATCCAAACTCTCCCTGGCGTTATCAGCTGTCACCACGTCCACATCTGGCAACTATCCGACACCAAGATCGTCGCCTCTATGCACGTTCAGGTTAGCTTCCCCATTTCGGCTGAGGGCGGCGAGAAGTATATGGAGCTTGCCAAGCGCGCTCGCAAGTGCCTTCACGCCTACGGTATCCATTCCGCCACCATCCAGCCCGAGTTCTGTGGTGATAAGGACTACCCCGAGGACGAAAACGCACACCGCGCGATGCAGTACGATGGTGCTGCTCAGACTTTCGGCTCGCCGAAGCAGGCCTGTCTGCTGGACTGCGTCGAGAACTGCGTTGGCAAGGGCTGCTGCTCTGACTCAACAACCGCCGGCGGCAGTGTGCGCAGCAACTCTGCTCACAGCCACAGCAGTCACAGCCGCGGCAACGGCCACAGCCATGACCATGACCATGACCACGACCACGGTCACTCCCACTAATTCGTCACTCGAAGTGGTCTTGCGGCGCGGTCCTCTATTAATAATACCCTCTTTTTTCTCGGCCGCGCCATTTGGATAATGGGTTCAGGGGTTTTGATCATCACTACAGGCGGGGCTTTTTGCTTTTTGTCGAGCTTGCAAAGTCACCCAGAGCAGACTTTGCCGATCAAAAATTACACTGGCGTTCAATGGACTGGGGAGCGTGGGTGAGGGGATAAACGTGACGATACCAAAGACGCAGGAGAGGCCGCAACGGCGCAAGCTTTTGGCCGCCGCAACTTGGATCGCCGCACACATCTTTCTTTTTCTTTTTTCTGTGCTTTTGAGCAAAATTTCCTATGTAAGCATACTAAGCCGCGAGTCTGGACTACATACACCACGGAGAGGGCAACAACCCGTTTTACAGAGAGGGTGGTGCTTCCGGATGGAGAAGCATTGTACAATATTATAAATTCAAAAACAAACAGTGAAGTTAACATGACGTCAAGTGCACCATCTGCGATGCGCTTCGTGATCGAGAACGGGGCTGTTTATCCAGAGAGAAAGGTCGCAATGAACATGACACGCTGTGAAACTAGACACTACGACGCTACAATGAGCCGCATGAGCCTCAGTCAGATGACTTGACCAGTCTGAGAGCTGTCGCACATTACACACATTGCGGAGAGAAAACAGTCTTGTCTCATTCGACACCCAATTATTGCGTGGACTAGGGAACTCCCCGAGGACTACCTACTCCAGTCGAGGGTATCATTAAAATTCTGGTTTTCTCGAAAATAGTTTGTTTGTGTACACGCGCTGCTGCCTCGCGCGACTTGAAGCGTCCCCCGGCCGTCTCTTCCCCACGACCTTCGTTCCCTTGAGCCGCACACTGTCCGTCCCCACCAACCCAGTCCGTTCTCTTCCCCGTTTTTTTTTCTTGTCCCAAGACCAAACGCCTGGTAATGCTGATGTGATGTCTCGAGGAGGGGCCGTGACAAGTGAAGAAAGGAAAATAAATTACGAAGAAAAGAAATGCTCATCAAGACCAGTAATTGTGCAGAAAAACTGTCGAGGAGAGTTCCCTCTGTCATGCGAAACGCAGCTGCCACTCTCTTCTCTAGTTCTTCGGGGCAGACGTCGATGGTCTCTTGATGACCAATTTGACGCGTTTGGATGCCGGCTGGCCTTCGGGCGGTGGCGGGGAAGCTTGCGAGGGAGGCTTGGGCGGGAGAGATGCCACGGGCGGCGGCGGACTAGCCGCTGGCCCTGATGAGCCTCCTCCCCCCGACGAGCCTGTTGGCAACGGCTTGCGTGCTGGCTTTGCCATGATACTGCTCTCAGATGGGGCAGGCGCTGGAGATGCGGCAGGAGAAGGCCGCACACTGAACGGAGAAGCCGACTTGTGAGTCTTGACGTGGGAAGGGTCTCTCGGGGGCGGCATCTGGGACTTAACACCAAGCTTCCTCATAACCTCTTTGAGTTTCGGGTGCTTAAACCGGAACATCCTGCGTCGCTTCGGAATGGTGCCGTCAGGGCGCGCGTTCAGTTTCGCCTTCTTCAGCACCGGGGACGCGTCGTCTACGCCAGGGACCTTGTCAGGTCGGGGACGCTTCTGTGATTTGCTGCTCGGCGTGTCAGACGAAGACCCCGGCTGCGGTGTAGAGCGGCCATTCTGCGCGGAGATCGAGCTTGACGACAATTGAGGCTTCACAACTGAGGGCTTCGGGACTGGAGGTTTGCCCACAGAAAGCTTGGTGGTCTGTGACGGTCTTGATGTGGGAAGCTTCACCGTCGATGGCTTGGGGGTTGATGGCTTTGGTGTCGTCTCCTTCCGGATGGTTGATGCAACGATCGAGTCTGCTTCCCGAGGTGCTGGCGATGGTGCCGAAACTGGTTTTGGAGACTGCACGGCTGGAGGTGGGGTGGGCCGAGGGGCAGTTGAGACAGGTCGTGGAGCCGAGGGTAAAGGCTTCTTGGCTATGCCATTCTTCATATTCACAATCAGGCGTTTGGGTTCGGGAGGTTTGGGAGGCTGCGGCGGCTGTACTGGGGGCGGGGGCGGGGGTGGCAGCTGCTCTGGCACTGGTTCCTTCGGCTTCGCCGATGGCAGCGCTGTCTTGTAGTACGACTTGAAGTTGACCATGAACTGCAAATTGTTAGAAAAGCCATTTCGAGGAATGAAGTTGCTTACCCTGCCTGGATGAGGCTTGACAGGACGAGTGACTCTCCATCGCTTCGGAAAGTTGAGAGTAACGGTCCATCGGTCAGCGACATCAAACATAGTCCCACACAGCTGTAAGAGCGTGATCTTTTCAGCGCGGCCAAGAACTTCTGCGTTCAGAGCCTTCCACACTGTCTTTTGCAACGCCTGCTCGTGGTCCGAGTACTGTTCCTCCATTTCAGTCCTCAGAGCCGCAAGCGCAACATTGACGTCCTGCTTCCTTGCAAATTGCTTCCGCCGCTCCTGTGTCCTTGCTTCGGTATCAAAATCTACTTGCAACTCGTCCCCAATAGGGCCACGTGCGGGAAGCTTGGGTTGGGACTGTTCGCCGAAAGCAAGAGCAGCCAAACCTGTACAGAAGATGTCGATGACCTTGTGTCGGACGAAAGGAGACCTGTCGGTGCTAATGACTGACAACAACAATCTGAAGACCGGCATCTCCATCATGAAGCCAAGGTCGACGAGACACTCGAAAGCTTTGATACGCACCAAGTCGTAGGTCCCGTCCTGGAGGTATTGCCAAAAGTTAATGGGACTTTTGGGGATGACTCCTGCCTTCATCAGCTTCCGCCAGCATTCGAGGGCAGTAGTTGTGTAGATATTTTGGTAAGAACTGTTCCACTCATCCATCCTACGGTGGCGGTCAATCTCGGCCAAGACTTCAACGAGCACTGCCCGCTCATCGACCGACGTATCAAGGTCCATCTGATCTCCAGAGTCGCGTCGCTTCTCAGGTACGAGACTCGTTGCTAGAGCATCGAGGATCTTGGAGTTATAGAAATCTGCGGAGTATGGGTTGTTGTCGTTTTTGTTGGTTGCCAACTCCTTCAGCAAAAGCCGTTGAGCAGGTTCAGGGCACTTGCCAGTCGAGTCGCGGATTTTGGCGATGGCCATCGGCAGTGCACACTGGACTATGTACTGCTTCTTGTCCGTAAAGTCATTGTGCCTTGGCTCGCCTTTCTCGTCGCAGAAGAGCTCACGGAAAGCCCTGAGGAGGTGAGTCATGCCTGCCATCCCAACCTTATCTGTGGCGTGCTGATGCAACGTCTCAGCAGCCATCGTTCTTATGCCGTGGAAGTACCGCCGGTCGACGAGGGTTCTCGTCAGAAATGTAGAGACCAGTGGATGTGGTGGGCTCTTCCGCAGGTACAGCATCGAGTCTTGCTGTGCAACGACGTCTCGGTCTTGTTGCAATTGAGAGACGTACATGTAGCTCTGAAGATTGGTCTTCATCTCGCAGGCCCACTCAAAATCAGCGTCCATTCGGATCCATTCGTATGACTCCTGGTCCATGGCTTTCTCGATGTCGGGTTCCCATTCCGCAAACTCCCACTTTCTCACGTCTTCGGGGCCGGTTAAGACGTCTCCCAAGCAGTACAATAGCGTTTCCTCGTTGTTATCGGGGTCTGCCGCTGATTGCGCGCTGAGCTTCTCTGTGGCCCGCCTCTTCCTCTTGAGACGCTTGTACTTCGTGTTGTACGGGATTTCGAACTTAGCCGCCTTAGCTGCGTCTTCGCGGATTTCCACGATATGTTCATATGGCGTCCCGTCGGCTTCGTGAATCCTTATCGTCATTGGACCGGTGAACAGTCCAATCGTTTCCTCAGTCTTGACGCCGTGGTATTTTTCTTTGATAGCACGCAGGAATTCCGTCTTCTTCAGAGTTTGCGCCTCTGCTAGGGCTTTGTCCTGGACTTGTCGGATGTTCATCTCAACGCATAGTCGCTTCTTGTTGAAACGCTGAAACACATCGAACCGTGGGCAGCCAGATCCGTAAACCCATTGGCCCCAAAATGCCTCCAGTTTATTTCGGGCGTTCTTCTCGCATACTCGTTGGAACGACTCCGTGTTGATGATCCACTCGCTTTGTTTTTCTCCAATGTTGGCCTTGTAAAGAATGCGAGAAATGATGCGTGTCAGGTTCGTCTGAGCAGGAGCCTTCATCAAACGCTTGTCTAGGATGAAGAGCACCAAAGGGGCTTTTAGAATCATGAACTCCATCTCAAAATCTCCCAGGTGCAGGTTGTTGCCGAGTTCATGTAATGATGGCCGCTTGATATCAGTGTTGACCAGCTGGTCTGACATGGCTTTCATCCGGAATCGATAGTCGTTGTTGCCGCAAAGCTTTTTCAAGAAGAGGTCGGTCATGTAGTAGGCGATGCCAATGACAACCCAAAGATCTCTGCGCGTGTTGGGAAACAAGTTGATGCCGCTCCATTGGGACGCCAAACTGAAAACCAGTTGTCTCGTGACATCCACTTCTGGGTCGATGATTTCCTCAGGAAAAAGAAGTCGAGTACTCACAAAAGACATTGACTGTAGGGCCACAGTATCGTTCACCATGTCATCCAAAAAGCACATCTTGTAGCTCTCGAAAGGATACCTGGCAAACGTAAGAGTGAAGAAGTCGGCTGCTGCTGCTAGTGCTGCGCATGTGTTCTGGACCTCTGCTGCTCTTCCGGGCAGGCAGTAGCCATGGATTTTGAGCGCACTAGCGCCGAGCTTCTCGTCGTTTTCCTCAGTGCGGAAGTTGGAGAAAAGGTCGACGTGCTCAAAGGGACCGACCGCGAAGCCGATCTTTTGCACCGACACCCTCTTATCCATCTCGAATGTCATGATCTTTTTGCGTTCGTCTTCCGGATCCACAATCTCGTCTGACAACGATCCGGAGCAGACTACGGTCATTTCGAGAAGTTTGTCCTCCTCAGTAAGCAAATAGTCCTTGTCACAGGTAGAGTCGCCAACATGGGCCTGATCCCGGTTGCCGTTTGTAGTACTGTTCGTATTTTGTTGCGTAGCCAGGGGCTGCCACAGAGCGTCGCCGAGAGTCCTTGGGCACTTGACGGCTATTGACCACGTGGGAAGCTGTCCATGATCGTCAATGCATGGGAAAATGCAAGACGCGGTTCCGGGTTCGATGGAATGTCTTGTGTATGCGTGAGGGTATCTGAGATCTCCGGGATCGACTCCGACGAACTGGATGCCATCTCTGACAAGCTTGGTCTCGAACGGTATCGTCACTCGGTACTCGCGGCTTCCCGACAATTCGTTCTCTGGAGGCTCAAAGGAGCTCGGGGTCATGCTCGAGACGCGGATCTTGAGCATTGGCCGCTTCGGCACTCCTGTTCCTGACTCTTCCTTGACCTTTTTTAGGTCCCGTAGGTTGACTCGCAAAGCACCGTCTACGGGCGTACAGCCAACCGTCTCTCTATTCTCGGCGGGCACGTCGCTCTGTCGGGTATGCATGAGGGGTCGCATCCGGATCTTCCTCAGGTCGTGGTGTTCGGCGTTCCAGTTGTAGTATGGCGGGTAATCCAGCAACTTATACGGGTCCCGGTAGCTCGCTGAAACTTTTTTAGGGGTGCCAACGGGCTGCGAATCCTTGAGAAACTGCACCGTGACATTCTTGAGATCGATTTCGGATTGTCGCGCGTCAATGGCGAACTCGTCAACGTGAGTGCCGGGCAGCTCGGCGAGCGTGATGTGGGACACTCCACGGATGCGTTTCTCGCGAAAATTGAGCTCGATTTCAACATCTTGTCGAATGACGAAGTAGGGGTATGGAGGCTCGTCTTTCATGGGGGGAAGGTCGTCTTCGGAGTCGCTGGCGATAACCTCCTCAACGGCGGGGGCAGCCGCAGCGGCAGCTGCGTCGAGGTGGTTCATGATGGCCTATGATGCGCTCGCGACGACGGCGTCGCAGGCATTCATCAAGTAAGACGTGGAAACGATCGAGTCGCGATGGAGAGAGGGAGGTAAAGTCGGCGAATGTGGGCGAGGAAGGTGCGCCGGCGCGAGGTTCTCAGGTGCGAAGTTTGACGATGGCCTTCACCATCCTGTCGCTGGGGCCGTCGTTATCGCGAGGTTGGGTTCGTTTTGAGGCAGCTGCGACAGCGAAAAGGCGAAAGTATTATTAATGGAGAGAAGTTTGGCGCGAAGTGAAAAGAAGTCGATCGTCTCGACGGCGGCGAGAAACTGAGCGAGAGGTGGGAGCGGAAGATGAGTCTGCTGCGGCGACCAAACACCGGAATTCTGTGGTCGGCAGTCGATGGTTAGTTCAGGCCTTCCTTCCATGCCTGGTCAGCGCGTCCACGGTCCGCCGCGACAGGACAGCAGACTGGACCTGGATGGAGCTACCACCTTGGCTCCTGCGCCGTTGGGTGGGCCTTTTTCTCATCGGGCTTACGTAACTTGCAGGCGTGAGTGTGTTGTCGGTCGTGCCTTCCACCTCAGTTCAACTGGAGGGGTTGGTCGTTGGAGGAGCTGGTCCGTGCCATCACTAGGCCTGAGGTGTCACGCCGCCGGCAAGGAAGCTCAAGCTTCAACGGTCCGGTCTTCACCTCTCCCGCCACTTCTCAGAATCTTCCTCTCAAGCCCTGCAACGGACAATTACGACACAAATGGCATTTTCACAACTTAGCTTAAATGCGTTTCTCACAGGCACCTCTTCGCGTGGAGCAATAACATGAGTTTACTTTGAAAAACTTCTCCGTCATCGATTAATTCAAACGCTTGTTCTTGAGCCATGCCACCCAGCAGTCTACAATGATTAATGTTACAACACATTGACACACATTTCGCAGGACACTGCGCCAATGGACCTCCTACTCAACACACGGGAAAGCCTGTCAGTGCCTGCCTCGACGGTCGCGACGCCTCTTCCTCGCCTGCACCTTCAACGTTTCCTCGTCACGAAACTCTTCGGGGAGATCGAAATCGATCTCGGGTATCTCTGGAATCGGATGTCCCCATGCAACCACTTTACGACCAGCCCGCCTGTGCCGATGCAAGGCCGCATCTCGCTCGTACCTCTTCTTGAAGAATGACTTGAACTCCTTTGGCGGTTCCGGCTTTGGTGGAGGCCGGGGTTGTATTATCACCCTTGGGCGCTTCTTACTGTTCTTTGCTCCCTTCGACCTTGCTATCGCTTCTTCGTGAAGCTGTTGCGACACAGAGTCATCGTCGGAAGAGCCAGGAGGATCACCGTCACTGACATTACCAGCGTCGTCTTCCTCGGCATCATCCTCATCACTACCTTCGGAAGAATCCTCATCACTCGTTTCTTCCGCCTCCGCCTTAGCGAGAGCACGATCCTTTTCGGCTTTGCGGCGCTTCTCCTCCAGACTCCATTGACGGAATCTCTCGAGGATGGCTTGGCAGCCTTTTATAAAGTGCTGCCTCGCCGGTTCGTATTGCTTCTTTCGACTCTCCGTTATGCCACTTACACCCATGACTCGCAGCCAGTCGTGACCTTGCAAACCGCCCAGCAGACGTGCGATTTGGTCCTTCTCGTGTTGAGCCCGACCACGCTCTGTGTTACGAATGGACTTTTCCAGTCTCTCGGCCCTCTTGTGCGAGGGCACGAAGGACGCATCTGGCAGAGGATCCTCAGCAGGTTCTCTCTTGTGGGAAATCCCGAGGAAGTCAAAGTCTATACGCTGTGCATCGACGAGATCGCTGAACAACGCGTCACCGTATCCGCGTACCGGGACTTTATGTGCGCTGGGCGGGATCGTTGAAGCGTCATTCGGCGCGCTGGGTTCCGCACCGGTGAACGGAAGCCATGGTGCCGGTTGAAGGCGTGTGGGGTTCGAGTCAAAAATGACTATCGGGGTATCGACGTTCAGCAAGTCTACAGGCAAAGGGTCAGTAAGTATCCTGTAATGCCGTGTCGACCCGGCACAAGCACGGCAACGGAAAGCATGAGCATGGAGCATACGTTGTTCTTTTGGATCATTTCCGATGACCTCGTCATACTCGGGGAAGTATGCTGACAGCTCGCTCTTGAAACGAGTGGCCTCTTGCGAGCGCAGTTTGCGGCCCCCCTCCTTTGTGTGGGTATCGACCTCGCGGGGCTGCAAACGATCCAACTCATGTTTAATGCCGTTGATGACTTTTTCTTGATGTTTTGTCAACTGCGGCGCATTATCGGTCGCGGGGGTCGAGGGGGCTTTCAGGGGATGCACTGTCGCGACGTGTTGTTGCGCGGGTTTCGGGGTCGGCCTCGGTAGGGGGGTCGCCTGAGGCGTCGTCGTCGTCGGTTGCGGAGTCGGGGTGGTGGTGACGTTGTGGGCGGCAGTCGCGTTCGCAACGACCGGCTTGACGGGCTGGGGAGCAGGTTTGATGAGGATTTCGATGCTCGAACGCGATCTCTTCTGCTTCGGGTGGTCGAAATCGACGAGATCGGCCGTGTCGAGCTGGCGCTTGGTGCGACCGGGCAGCTGGTGGTGGTAGGCGGAGATGTTTTGGGGGGCGGCGCGCGTCACAGTGTTCGCTGCGAAGGCCTGCTGGTGCTGGTGCGTTGGCTGCTGCTGGACGGGGACGGGATGGGGATGGTGAAGGGAATGGGGATGAAGCCCTTCAGCGTTGGCCCTCCGGGTGGAGCGCGTGAGAGAGGCCATGGGCGACGATTGAATAGCCATTCATTGTATTCCCGTCGGCTCGTCGCGAGGGCGATTGACGTGTCGATCGATGAATTTTTTTCTGCCGCTTTTTTTCGTCTCGTGTCGTCGTTGATGCGATGCGGGAAGTGGCCTCTCGGGCACCTCTGGCAGGATTTGGGGGGGGTTGATTCAGCTTGCTCTCTCCCCTTTGCACCCTTTGGGGGGCTTCCTCGCTGTAATTGGCACTGTCCTTCTTGGGGCGCGTCGTCCTCTGCCAGTGTGCCCAGTGCTGCGACTGCCTGCCTGGACCAGTGTTTGCGTCCACCACGGTGATGCCTGCCTTTGTTGGACGTAGTGGGTGGCCGTTGGACTGACAGTGGCTCAATGCCCATCGGCGGTACCGAAGGAGGGGGGGAGAACCAGTGACCACGATACTTGTGTCGCCACCGAGATTGTGTGGCAAGTGTATGTACATTCCCCATCTTCCCGGGTGCAGCTGCAGCCTGCAGAGGACGGGTGAACCTGACCTCTCTGCTCCTCCCTCGCGTGTCTGCTTTCTGCAGCACCACCTCACCTGAGCTCGCCCCTGGATTGGAAATTCTGCCAGCCCGACGTCAATGCATTGTCTTGAAATCGATAATTCCATGGCCAAGAGCACTAGGGTGTTTGAACCTGGGCCGTGTTTTGCGAATGCATTGCGACCGGAGTCAGTCGTTGTTTTCCCACATTCTTATCGTCATTACATCATACACAGCAGTCGATTTGTGGTCGCAGCTAAGGTATGCATGCATGTCTGGAGACATCATGATTGCTCACTCAGCTTGCCTTAGTACTTGTGATCCCGCAAAGTGACAAGCACTTCATCTTTGGGTATGGCGCAAAAAGGCGCTCAACTTTTCATTCTGGCTTGCAGCAAACATCAAGGTTTGCGCCCTTCGAAAGATGCACGTCCGCAGTCATGGACAACAGACTAAACGAGAGAATCCACGACGGTTGATGTCGTCATCATTTGCTGTCACTTTTTTGGTTGAAAGGCCCATATGTCCATTCGAAGCAAATACTTCTTGATTGATCGCAGCCACAGAGCTCTCAAATATTTCAGAAAGCTTCATGACCCGCGTTCCTCAGTGAGCTCCCTCAAATATTCGTCGAATACTTGAACAGAAAGGGGTATGAGGGTCAATATGGTGGGTTTGAAGGTACTGGCAAAAGCATCGGATAGGATACAAGACAAATTTCATACCCAGATGCTGAACTTCCACTTCATCCGGAAAATCCCATCAAGTACCATTATTGTCAAGGTAGAAAACCACAGCCAGGATTGCTCAATGTATGCAAGGTTTACCTAGTTACTTTGAACTACATCCACGAGGATAGTTGGCAGAGACCTTTGTCAATAGAAGTCAGATTGATAAGACAAGACGACTTACTTATTTCTCGGCCACGGCCCCAGCTTGAATTTGTCACAGCTCACAGCGACCAATTTGCTGTCTCAGACTTTCGTGAAAGAAACACTGTCTTTCAGCTTTTAATCATGGTCGAAAGCAAGCGGTGAATCTGTGCCGGGGAGGCATAATAATCTCTAATTGACATATGCAGCTGAAGGGAGCTCAACAAACTCAATCTGGCGAAGAAAGCCGTGTTGTCGAAGATGAGCAGCTATATAGGAGCCAGAGATTTTCATCCATATGATTTGGTATGATTCGTGGAACTCGTTTTGAGCGTGATATTACAACAAACCCATACGGCATGATAAGCTGATATACATGTCCTTCTACAAGAGCCAATTTTGGTAGACGACAACTAGGCACCATGTGATTCAGTGTCTATCAGTGTTGTCAACATATTATTTTGTTTTTATTCCTACAAGCCACATTCATGTCGCGTACGACTTACATATCTGTAATAGTAAGGATTTAAAGTAGGCACCCTGGCAACCTCCTTCAGCAGGTTGATGCGAACTTGGGAAAGTAGCAAGCGAAGTCATACACATGAGATTTGTGCCCTCATCAGCTGCTACAGGATTGAAAAGTTATTTATTACAAGTCACAAAGACCTTCTGCACATGCGATACCCCTCTCATGCAACGCACCCGTGCCCTTGTGGCCCGCGAAGCAGTCGATGCTAGTAATAGCCGTATTCCTCAGTTATACCCCCACAGATAGTTCTATAAGAAACCTCTCGATCCAGTTTTTTTTCTTTCTAGCTTCCTTCAACAATCAGAACCAAGCAACCCCAGTGGGCAGGCAACCCTTTGCGAACGCAAAATCAACGAAAGGGTACATAGACCGATCAACAAAAATATGTATGAAAATCTATGTCTAACCATAATACATGCTACTTCTCCCCTCCACTGACCGGTTCTCCCGTCGCGCAAGTATCGCTTCGTATCTAACGGATAGCACTCCCGTTTCTCGACTCGTAATACCGAGCCAACGGGACGAGCACTTGACAGCAGAATAAGTAGTAAGGATACTCCACCAAAGACGTCCATGGAAGACACCATCGGAAAAAGAACAGAAAAAGAAGAAGAAATAGTACTTCGTCGCTCTAAGATACCAGGCCAGAGCTCCCCGTACTGGGTTTTGAGCAGAGCCCAAGAGGGGTTTTCGCATTCACGAAGAAGACAGATTATGCGGTTTGCTGTTCCGAGTATCAATATCCCAACTTCGCCCTCGAGGAGAATCAATAATATACTATCTCTACCTTATACGAAACGTGACAGACTCTCGTATACAACCGGCACATTTAAAAAGGTTAAGACGCACTAGTTTTTGTTTGTCGCTGGCCGCAGTTGATAGAAATACTAGAAAATGACAACAGCCGTCCATCAAATCTAGCAACCGTAGTTCAGTCCAATGCTCTCACATCGAACACCTCTGGCCAATAGTTTAGCAGGGCCGATGACGGATAGCTATATCCCACAACATTCTGCACCACAGTCCTCGTTGTTTCGAGATAGCACAGCGCATGGTTTGCTTCCCACCACGATGCTGGCACCACATTGACAACAGGCCGTCTAGCTCGCACTTGAATTCATATGCTGCAAATTACCTCTCAAGCCTTGGTCGAGAACCAGAGACCATAGGAGCATTTGGAGATACGAGAAGCATAAATATCAAAGCCCCGTCGTCACACGTACGAACAGTTCCAGCAAGGACTTTCGTGATGTACTAGATCCTATGAGACTCGAACTGATAGTAACTGCTCGCAGAATGCCGTGCCACTCTATTTTCATCACAACATGAACCTCACTACCCGAACCCGCAACATACTAGGTGGAACGTTGAATGTTGAACAATGATATTATGCAAAAAAGGGGCTCTTTTTCGCCCTACTAAATAGTTATAGTACTTATAAACGTAGTCCAGTCATGCCAGTATCCGCGGCATGCTCACCCTCAGCGCCGAAATAAAAAGAACAACAGCGCATGCAATGTTGAAATTGGGATCAGCCTCCTGCAACGCCGACGTCAATGCAAAATAAGCTCAATCGTATCCCTCTCGGCCGCAGCGAGACGTGCTGTAGTTTCCTCTACGCAGAATTCCCTCCTCCTTCTTCGTCCTCGCCATTCCCATGTCGGTCGTTGGTGTTGAATCACCTCTATATTCGTCTTCACAGAACTTTGAGATTCTACTCCTTCTTGAAGCCGTTCGCAGTGCCATTGAGAATCGGCCCCGTCTGCGCAGCCAGAAGCGCCTGCTTGTTGGCGAGCTGCTTCTCCTTGGGAATGGTAAGGGCGTTGATTCCGAGGAAGTTGCAGATGCTGGTGATGACGAGGTAGGCCCAACGGAAGTAGACAACTGCGGAGAAGATGAAGTAGCCGTACAGGTAGTACAGCTCCGTCTGGGCGCTGATGGCAGAGATGCCAATGACCGGAAGGTTGGCGAGGCACGCACCTCCGACGAGAGGCACAAGCATGACGGTCCAGTACGGGAACGGCTGCTTGGTCAGGTGAGCAAGAATCATCTTGGTGGTGAGGCGACCAAAGACGAAAGACATGGTCAAGCAGAAGAGAACGAGGTGGTTCTCGGTGCGAAGGGTCGTGTAAGGCGAGTAGATCCATGCGCCAATAGCGAGGGTGAACACTGCCATCGGCGTCCACTCCAAAAAGACGGGAGCCACAGGCTCGCCACGCGCGCGACGGGCCTTGATGACATGAAGGACGCAGAAGGGGATATGGGTCGCGAACAGGGAGAAGACAATCATGCCGATCCAGATGTCACGGATGGAGGTCTCGCCCAGCAAGTGAGCAAAGCCGAACATGTACTTCTCGTGACCCTCCCAAAGCTTAATAATGGGCTGGGTCCAGATACCAGGGCCGTAGATACCAGAGACAACCATGACACTGCAGGCGATCAAAATGCCCTCGGTAGGGCCGTTGATTCTGCCCAAGTACAGAGTGTGGGTGTGGTACGTCTCCCAGGTCGAGAAGAACATGGGCAGGCAAGGGACGAGAGCCGTGAAGACGCCGGACTTGGAGCAGCCGAGACCCATGGCAGCGGTCTCGAGGAGACTGGCCAGGGTGCAGTTCAGGGAGTCGATTCCGTGGTCAAAGAGCTCGCCGAGTCCGCTCGAAGTTCCTGTTCGGCGGGCCTGCTTTCCGTCGAGATTGTCCATGGTCTGGTACATGAAAAGACCGAAGGCGAAGCTGAAGTATAACCATGACGGAGCCTGCGCGTCGTCAGCAGAGTGTTCACTGCAATAATCTTCCCCGACTCTGTTTAAACGTACCGGTCCAACCAAATCAGGCATGAAGACAACCAGAAGGCCAATGTTTCCGAGGATGAAGAAGAAGCCCAGCAACGTTACCATGTTTGGCGCCAGCCATAGCGGCAAGAGCTCGACAGAGGCGTTCCACTGTGAGCAGACTGTGTTAGCAGGTTGTCGAAGGGATGTAGCGCGCGATGGCTGGCTAGAGCCGCTCGGACGGCGCGGGGCAAGGCATGACCGGAGGAGGGGGATCGTCGGAGGGGCTAACGTACGTATGGTTTAAGGATGTAGTTGGAGATGGGCGA